AAAGTAGAATTCTTTCTAGTAAGTGTTAATCTCGGATGTATGATTTTTATAAAAGATAAAAATCTTGTATATGAGAATTAACTTATGCATACAGGAATTGACTTTTGCTACCTAGAGATCAGGCCCGAATTTTAAAAATATTCAAAACCTTTGTAAGGGAGATTGAGTATTATTGGAGGTAAAACAGAACCTGCTTCTAACGACACAGCAGCAACCAAGGGAACAAGAGTGCCCAGTCAAAACAGAGAAGATTGCAACTGATATTTCGGAACAAGAATACCCAGTCAAAACAGAGAAGATTACAACTGATATTTCTGGCCAACAACTTTGTTACGTTTGTGATAGTGTTTTTGATTTTTGAGTAGCTTATGTATAGGAGAAAGTTATGGAGAGTTTGTGTATAAATATTATACGCTGTACACACTGAAAAACACTGAAAAACTCTATCCATCTATCTCTCATCCAGCTAACTTTTACATGGTATCAGAGCCCAAAGGACTCACGTCTAAACCAATCCTCTTCAAGATGTCTACCTCCCCAATTCCTCCACTTCTAATGTTGCCGAAACCAACCTTCCTACCTTCACCCCTCTTCCTCCATCCCCCCACCAAACTCACACGTCTTAATTACCCTACGTGGAAAGCCCCATGTTACCTTACCTCAGGCCAGAGAGTCTACGGCTACATCGATGGCACCATTCAGCACCTGCAAAAACCATCACTGCCTCTGATGGCTCTACCACCCCTAACCCCTCATATGATCTTTGGGAAACCCAGGATAATCTTATTCTTAGCTGCATCAACTCTTCTCTTTCTGATGAAGTTCTTGCCCAGGTTGCTCACTTGCTGCTCCTCCGCTGCAGTTTGGAAGGCCCTCAGTTCTGCTTTTGCATCCCGTCCCGTGCTAAAGTGGTACATGTTCGCACTCAACTCTCTACCCTTCGGAAGGTATCAATCTGCAACTGATTACTTCATGACTATCAAACGTCTCACGGACGAATTGGCCATTGCTGGTCAAGCTCTGACGTGTGCTGAAATTATTCCATATTTGCTTGCTGGGCTCGGTCCCGAATATGACTCCTTGTTTCCATGGTTTCTCACCGAGATATATCTCTCACATTGGAAGAACTTTATTCAATGCTCCTTACATGTGAAGCTCGCATTGAGCATAATAATCAATGATATCCCTGTCCATGGCTTCGGCCAATGTTGCCACCCGATAACAACACTTTACAGGAGGACGGGGTCGTGGCACCTTCTCAGCTCCTCAAGGCAGGGGCGTAATCCATCCATGGCATCGTGAGGTGGCCGCGGCAACACCAATATGTGTGTCACTGTGTGAGAAACTAGGCCATACGGCTTCCCGCTGTTTAAAGCGCTTGATCCAAATTTCCAAGCCCCACCACCTCGCCCAACTCCTCAAGCACACCTTGCCTCCAACCAATCTCAGCAGCATTCGACTGAACGAGTGGCATCACGACACTGGTGCGACGCACCATCTGACCAACAACATGAGTAATCTGAATATCCGAAGTAATGATTTTGCTGGCACTGATCAAATTCAAATTGGTGATGGTACAGTTTAAAATAACTCAATTGGAACCGCCTCTTTATCTAACTCATCTTCATCTTTATTCTTGACAAAATTCTTGTTGTACCCACAATTACCAAAAATTTACTCTCTGTTCAAAATTTGCTCAGATAATAATGTTTATTTTGAGTTTCACAGTTCTTGTTTTCTGCTTAGGATTACTCGGGAACGTCCTACATAAAGGCTCTGTGTCTGATGTTCTTTATTGCTTCTCTCCCTCTCTTCAACGCTTTTTTCCCTCGCCTTTGTTGGTGCGCGATCTCGTTACAGCATGGCATCGTCGTCTTGGTCATGCCTCTTATGGTACTACTCGACATGTGCTTGCAATAATAATTTACCTTTTGTTTCCAATAATAGACAAAATATTTGTCCTGAGTGTGCAATGGCTAAAAGCCTAATTTACCTTTTTCTACTTCCCTTTCTTCTGTTTCAAGACCCCTTGAATAATTTATTCCGATGTCTGGGGCCCCGCTCGGTTGTTTCTAGTTATGGATCTCGTTATTATGTTTGTTTTTTGGATGCCTTTACTAAATTCCTTTGGATTTTTCCTTTGAAACTAAAATCTGACGTTGAACCTATTTTCATTCAATTTCAAAAATATGTTGAAGGAATTTTGATTTCCAAATTAAGGCCATTCAAACTGATTGGGGGTGTAATATCGACGTTTAAATACTTATTTCAAAACTTGTGGAATTCACCATCGTTTAGCTTGCCCTTACACGCATGAACAAATGGGTTCTGTTGAACGTCGGCATCGTCAAATTGTTGAAATGGGCTTAGCTTTGCTAGCTCCACTCAAATTTGCCCAAACCTTATTGGAAGACGCATTTTTAACTGCCACTTATATTATATTCGTCTTCCTTCCAACACATAAACACAAATCCCCTTTTGAATTGGCTTATAATAAACCCCAACTATTTGTTTTTGCGTGTTTTTGGATGTGCTTGTTGGCCTAACTTGCGTGCTTATAACAAACATAAAATGATTTTCGATCTAAACTTGTATTTTTCTTGTTTATAGTCTATCACACCAGGACTACAAATGTCTTGATTTGGCCACAGGAAAATATATGTCTCACGCCATGTCATTTTTGATGAGTCTTTGTTTCCCAAAAAGATCTCTACATTTAATCCTCCTGCACCAGAAATTTTTCTTTACCACTCCCTTGTGTCACCCGAGTCCTCCGGCTAACCATGCATCATCCATACATAAGTCCCAATGGCCATTCCTCTTGATAACATCAATCTCCAAAATCAAGTGCCTTCATACTCATCTACTTTGTTCTCCTCGGTGGTTGCTCACGTACAGCAAGGATCTCACTCACACGGTTGTTTGTGGCCCATCTCACCAACCAAATCCTCCTCATTCACGTGATACTCCAATGCCATGCCGCATGCTACCCGATCACAAACACAATCTCTCAAGCCAAAAGCCCTTATGTCGGTATAGCTCGATACCCACTCCTTCAATGTTACTTACTAATCATGTCTCCTCTTTGCAGAACCTGTTTGCTTTTCTGAGCCTCAAAACATCAATATTGGCGTGACGCCATGGACACCGAGTTAATGCTCTTCTCAAAAATGGTACTGGGATCTTGTCCCCCCTACGCAATGTAATAATCTTTGGAAATAATGGTGGTTCCGAATTAAACGACATGCAGATGACAGTGTTGACCGTTTTAAAGCGCGACTGTTTGCGAAAGGTTATCATCAGCAACCCGTTGGACTTCACGAAACCTTTAGCCCTGTGGTTAAGCCAGGGACTATAAGGCTGTTGTTATCTTTGGCTATTACACACAATGGAGTATTCGACAATTGATATCCAGAATGCATTTCTCCATGGCCAGTTGCAAGAAGAAGTTTATATGCAACAACCTCAAGGGTATGTTCACCCTGATTTTCCTAATCATGTATGCCACTTAAAAAAGAGTTTATACGGTCTTAAACAGGCTCCCCAGCTGGTTTCCAAACTGACCGAACACTGCAGCAAATGGGATTCGTTGGTTCAAAGGCAGACACCTCTCTATTCACACTTCATACCAATGACTTCTCTATTTTTATCCTCATATACGTTGATGATATAATCATCACTGGGCCCTCTTCAGATGCGATTGCCAAATTTATTCAGCAACTTGGAGATATTTTTTCCGTCAAAGATTTAGCACTCTATCTTATTTCTTTGTGTAGAGGCTTTGTTTGATGGTCCTGATCTTTTCTTGACTCAACGAAATGTGTGCCGACCTACTACAACGGGTTAACATGCATGAAGCAAGCCATGTTCCACTCCTATGAGTCCCACTTGCAGTTTATCTAAGTTTGAAGGTCATGATTTTTCTGACCCTCAACTTATCGAAGCACTGTTGGGGCTTACATTACTTGGGTTTCACTCATCCAATATTGCTTTCGCGGTCCACCGTGTTAGCAAATTCATGCATCAACCCAAGACACTCATTGGCAAGCCGTCAAGAGAATCCTTCGTGTATCTAAAATCTAGGTGGGCTATGGACTTCATTTACAGAGTACTTCAGATCATTCTCTTCAAGTATAGTGATGCCGACTGGGCTGCGACAAAGATGACCGACTTAGTATTGGGGCCTACTGCTTTTTCATGGATCCAATCTTATCATTTGGAGTTGCAAACAACAACAAACTGTTGCTCGTAGTGCACTGATCGAATATAAATCCCTCTCCACACCAGCGACAAAGCTACATTGGCTTCAATCCATTCTTCATGATCTGCGACTTCCCTTACTGACCAGTCCCATATTAGGGTGCGATATATTGGAGCTACGTATTTGTCCTCTAATCTAGTCTTCCATGCCAGAACCAAACATATTGAATTGACTTTCACTATGTTCGGGATCAATTCTTAGCTAAAAAACTTCAGGTCTCATTTATACCAAAAAATCACTTGCAGATTATTAACTAAACCACTGTCATCCATTCGTTTTCATCTCCTGCGAACCAACCTTCATTTTCAAGATCTGCCCATTCGGTTGAAGGGGCGTATTGGAGGTAAAACATAATGCTTCTAACGACACAGCAGCAACCAAGGGAACAAGAGTGCCCAGTCAAAACAGAGAAGATTGCAACTGATATTTCGGAACAAGAATACCCAGTCAAAACAGAGAAGATTACAACTGATATTTCTGGCCAACAACTTTGTTACGTTTGTGATAGTGTTTTTGATTTTTGAGTAGCTTATGTATAGGAGAAAGTTATGGAGAGTTTGTGTATAAATATTATACGCTGTACACACTGAAAAACATCTGAAAAACTCTTATCCATCTATCTCTCATCCAGCTAACTTTTACAAGTATATAGCACTTTCAAATTAATATTTATTTCCTTCATTTGCATGTACAACATAAAAGTAAAAATAAAAATAAAAAGAGAAAAGGAAAAACTTAATCAATCCTTTTGAGGGCTTTCCAACCAACTTTTTGTGCATATCAAAGCATTTCTAATCTCAACATCAAGACCCTCACAATAAAAAATATTTTGAAATTCAATCTTCAAGCTAGAAGAATCTGCAATCCCAGTATTAGAAATAGGTATTGCTAAGAAATCACTTGCCATCCTTGCGAGTGTTAAAAACTTTGTAGAGTTGTCGCACCACCAAGCTAGTATATCAAACTCTTCAACGGATGGAAATTTAGGTTCCTTTAAATAGTGATCAAGTTCTTGCTGCGCAGATGTATTTTGTGAAGATGAGCATGGCCTCCCCATGGCATCTAACATTCTAGGACCCTTTGCATATTTATAGTAAACAGTTTTAACATCATCAGTGATCTCCTTAAAGTGTCTCTTGGCTTCATCATCGCCATAGATCTCCTTGTACCAGCACTCTACAATATCCAATTTGAATCGTGGATCAAGAACTATCGCAATCACTAAAGCCAATTTACAACTGCTCCAGTAGTTGTCAAAGTATTTGTCTCTCATAGATGATGCTAATTGAGAAACATAACAATTGTCACTTTTTTCCCATTGAAGCAGTCTCATAAATAGGTCACACAACTTTGGGAAGTACACATTTAGAGTGGTATATTTGCTCTCCGACAAGCTATCAGCAGCTTCTTTTAACAGTTTCGCATACTCAAATGCCACGGTTGCCTTTTCCCATTCCTCCTTTGTTAAATTTACTAACTTGAAATCAGCATCAATTTGCTCCAACTCAGAAAACACTTTTTTAAGTCCAAGTGCTCTCTCAATCATTTTGAAATCTTTACAAATCCACATACAAGGATTTATGGTTTGAAAAGAAGTCATTGTAACGCCCGTGGATTTAATTTTGTCGAATGCACCACGAAATTTTCCTTCATTTGATGGTGTCCCAAAGACATACCGAAAAGACTTTTTTATCTTTTCAAGCAAGTCCTCTGTCCACTCTGGTCCGTTCTCAATCCGCAGATTATCGATTAACCGACTAATGGATGGTAACTTTCCAGCAAAAGGAAGTGAACTTCGTTTATCAAGCCATTTGTTTATCTTGGTAAGTTCCCAATCCCCTTCTTCAATACTTGTTACCATAGAGCACATATCCTTATCGATGTTCAAATCCAAAAGCAAACCTTTCAGTATCAAGAAATTCCTATCACGTTTATCATAAGAAAAATTAATAACCTTTTTCTTCAATCTCCAACTATCATCAATAAAGTGGAGTACTGTCATAATACCCTCAAATTTATCAAATGGTTCAATTTTTAAACTAAAACGACATGGCAGGTTAACTAAACATTTGCCAAGTTTTTCTTTCTCCTCTTCGTAAATATGGAGTACCTCAACCCTTATGGGATTAAGTGAAGAGAACGCATATTTAATTATGTTCTCTACCCGATCCAAATGAACCAATTCTTGACCGATCACTGCTTCTCCAACCATTGATTTATCTGCTCCTCCAATTGGATTTCTTTTACTTTGGCATCTTTCTAAATGATTTTTCAAATGTGTGGTTCCTTTCTTACTTGAACCATCAAACTTTCTTTCACAATGTTTACATATTGCCCATTCTTTTCCATCTTCTTTATATTTTGTAAAATCCTTCCAAACCTTTGAATTCAATTTCCTTCGTTTAGGATGTGACAAGTTCTCCAAATCTGGATTCTCTATCCCATGAACTGGAGCAGTTTCAACTGGAGCATTTTGTTCCCCAGTCTGAGCGATTTGCTGTCAACAAGTCATTATTGATGAGCAAGTATAAAGAGTACTAGAAAGCAAATTATTAGTATCTTTTGCAGTAGCACCCCAATCAAGTCAAATGATTCAGAATATTATAATTAGCTAGATAATCCAAATAGTATTAAATTTACTCGGGTTCCAAATCACCTATACAACCCCAGTAACTTTTTATCAAAGAAAAGTACATTATCATGGTACTAATTTAAGTTTTCTCTTATAAACTTAAATTCGAACTACTGTACAAAAATATAAACCAGACCCTCTCCTGATCCGAGGTTTTACCTGAATAAATAAAGGCTCGTGATTGGTGCATGGTTATAAAATAGGAATATTATAGACAAAAAATCTGAACAATAAATAAGTAAATATACGCACGGTCCTGAGATGCTTAAAAGCTGAGAGAAGCTCACATTAGGAGATGATCCTAATTCCAATGGACCAGTGTATCACTAGCATATACATATTGAGCAAATAAATATATACATAGACAGGAAAGAAAAGGTACCTGTCCATAGTCTTGATGTGTTTCAGCTTCATCATTATAACTTGTATGAAAAGATGTTCTCCCAATAGAATGGGACATTATAGGTGTTCCTTATATAGCTGCAAAAGTTCCGCTATAAGAAGAAATTGATCCCAAAAGTCACTTTAGAATGCAAAATTTGCAACCTATGAAACAAGCTGCAGGATGCTGAAATACTCAAAAATTCCTTTAAAACCAACCAATAATTCACAACAACAAAGAAAAGATGAGTACCAGCTGTGTCAAGTGTAATATGTCAAACAATAATTCATTGATTACATGTATAAGATGAACCGAAAACATAAACTGAGATTTGGTGAAGGTTTTAGTTGATGACTTATCACATTAATTATCACCATAAGGTTTAACTGGAAAATAAATATAAGAGCTAGCTTAATTTCTAATGATAGCATATACTTACTTGAAAATGTCCTGTCAGGAAATTAAGTTGACATGGATATGCTGTTTCTTCTAAAATTCAACTTTTCCAGAATAGTCGTTGATCCCAAATCCTTTATAATTGTGCTAATGTAGTGTGAAAGCTTTTAAGCTTCTAATGTTCTGTAAACATGGTGAATGGAAGGAGGAAAGCAAGTCAACAGGAAGAGACAAGCGGTTAATGCTTTCTTTTCTCTCTCTTTTTGTTATTTATTTTCTTTTTCAATCTTCAACTTGCTTTGAAAAAGACAAAAAGTTATATGTGTCGCCTCGAACTATCCGAAGTCCGACTCTACAATCATTATTGAAAATGACCAAAAGTTGTAATTGACGCCAACTTAATCCAATAAATATAAACTTCTGAATTCAATAGTTGTAATCATCGATAACGAATATCCGATACTCTCTTGATTTGATTTTAGAATTAGGATTGTTTCCCAATTTGAGTTCTCCTAAGTTTCTCTAGAGTTTTTAAAGATCTCATTATGCATGTATATAATCATTAAGATTTGTTTTCGTTTCCCTATATTATAATTAATTATAAAAAATACTTTTAAAAAATAAAATGCCATTAGTTATTATATATATAACAATAATTTGAAAATTAAATTTACCAAACACATGAATATATATATTTTTTAAGTGAACCTCTATGAGGAAAAATATATTAATTGAAAAAAAAAAAAATGAGACGTAAACTAGATTATGTCAATAGTCTTACATACCCAGTAGCAGATTCAATTTTTTTTAATAAGGTTGGTCAAAATAAAAACTAATTACATATTACATTCATATTCTGTATTTTTAGTCGTAATTGTCATAAAAAAAAAAAAAAAATTACATAGTAGTAATTTTTTTAAAAACAATTTGAGAGTGGGTCATGGGCCACTCTCAACTTACTCCCTTGTCTTACCCGTTAAATAAAGATTAAGTACAATAATAAATAAAAAGAAAACAACGCAAATGTATGAATTACTAAACACATATTTATAAATTTTGAAACTCATTGCAACTTTAAAAATAAAAATTATTTTTGATTGATTACTTTTGGAGTAGATTAAAAAGTGATGAGGTTTAAAGCTATAATAATCTCAAACGACCTTTAGAACATCTCTAAATGACTCTTTATATGACTCAAATTATTTATTATAAAAAATTTATCCATAAAAACAAGAGTCCAACAGACTCTTTATTCTTTAAATATAAATTAAAGAGTGAGTTTGACTCTCCAAATTTAGAGAGTCAAATTTCACTCTGTATCCTAATTTTAAATGATAAATTTCATGTTTCTATGTATTTTATTTATGATTTATCTCTCCTATTAAGTTTCTTTCTTGAAAAAATATATTATCTCTCCTAAAATTTAAAAAGTCGATTATTTCTCCTAAAATTTAAACAGTCTATTAGATTTGAATACAAATTTTGTTATTTATATTTAAAAATTAATAAAGATGATTTTTATTTATTTATATGAAAAATGTTCTTTAAAATAAAGAGCATCATCGGATATGCTCTTAGTAGGAATTGTGTTTTAATTGTAAATTCAATGAACAATTATAAGCCAATTTTGATAAGAGTCAAAGTTTGATCAGTGTTGACGTTGCTTTTTTTTGGGCCTTAGTTAACAATATTTGAGCTAAGGTAAACTCTCAATTGTAGCCAATTGGAAAAGACTCATATGTTGGAAACTCGTAAACTCTCATACCAGTGAAAGAACAAACCAAGGTCAACAAAAGGGATATCGAAGGTGTTTGTTGGCATGTCCCCTCCGACGTTTAAGCCGTTGTTCTTTCTCACAAAGTATTTGGACCGTTGTGTGTAAATGAACTATTTAATTACTGTTTGAAGAGGTAAAAGAATGTTTCCACTTTCTTAAAAATCAGTGGTCTATGACAGTAGGTTGTGTACAAGGGAAGAGCTAGAAATTAATTAAGAAGTTATATTTATGGGGGCTCAAGTGTTATGTTAAAAACTACTGGTAACCAAAGAAAACTAAATTTATAGGGAGCAAATTGATATTTTTGCATATGAATTTTAAAAAAAATTTGTGGAGTCCCAGGTGGCCAATGTAGCTCTACCGTTGGTTGTGAATCCCTTAGGCAACATGTTCTCCCTCTCTCAATGGATAATACTTCATATACAAACACTTTATAAAATTTCTCTCATACAAACTAATGTGTTTTAAGATGATTGGGTGATTTTAAATTAAAAATAAATTAAATGAGATTACATGGCAAACTTACAAGGTTGCTACATCAATTTGTAGGGAATACTAGAGGTGGAACAAATGGGCCAGGTTAGACAGGTCAACCCTAACTCGGCCCGTATCAAGCTAGGTTCAACTTGGACCGCCTAAAAGGTCACGCATACCCCATCGGGTGGGTTGGGCCTTCATAAGCCAACCCGGCGATTGACGTGTTATATATTTAAAAAAAAAAAAAAAACACACTGTCCAACCCGCCAGGTAGACCCCCAAGTTGGACAAAAAAAAAAAAAATTTAATTTTTTTAATTAAAAAATAACCATTTTACCCTTGAAATATAACCGTTTTATAGCAGTTGGAAGGGTCTTTTTGATCATTTTCTTTTTCCTTTTTTTCTATAAATAGGGCCCAAATTCTCATATTTTCTCACATCCCAAATTCTCTCATTTTTCTCTATTGAAATATCTCAAATCTCAATTATTCTCTTTGTTGTCAATTTGCTCTTATTTTAATTTTTATTAGTTTTTGCAATTTTCAATTCATATTTTCAAATTTCAATTCTACTTCTTTAATTTTTTATTTCTTCTATATCCATTTTTTTTTTTTTTCTTTTTAACTACAATGGACAGATATTTCCATCCCATCAATTTCAGTGATGAAGGAAATTATCCTAGTCCCCCTAAATTTACTAACGTAAATGCAGTAGATTCAAGTAGTCCCGCTTTCCCATTCTCAGAATCCAATACACCTCATAATATTCCCCCCTACTCCCTATGTTGCTATAGCTCCTGGTGGTTCTAGAAGTCATCCTCGTAATCGTCGTCCTCATCCAACTCCATCTCAAGTACATATCAGACGTTTGGGTGCATTTTAATAAGTTTTACAAGACAGAAAATGGAGTTCAAGTGAAGAAAACAAGATGCAAGTATTGTGGAAATATTTATAAAGCTGATGCAGATAATGATACTAGTACTTTAAAAAGGCATGCTAATAAACATACCACTCAACATGGAAATACAAAAACAATCAAACTCAAATATCTAATATAGGTATTACTTTGCGTTATAATTCTAATGTATATAGAACAATTAGCTTTATATATTGCTATAACTAATCAACCTATTAATATGGCTGAAGATAAATATTTTAAAAGATTTATTAAAAAAATATTTTTTTCCAGGATTTAAAAGTCATTCTAAAACTGCAACTGGAAATGATTTAATAAAATTGTTTGGGAAAATAAAATTAGAATTAAAAAATAAAATACATAGTTGTCATGTTAGTGTGGCTCTAACCACTGATATTTGGAGTGATAAAGCTAAACAAGAATATATTTGTATAATTAGTCATTATTTTGATAACGAGTATAAATTAAATAAATCTTTACTGGGACTTAGATTAATGGATGTGAATCATAGTGGTTAACAAATTTATAATAAAATTGTTGTAGTTTTATTGGGACTTAGATTAATAGATGTGGATTCTTTAGCTTGGATTACTAGTAGTAATAGAAGAAAGGCTGAATTTCAAAATATTTGTATAAAATCAAATATCTCTCCTAGATCCTCATTTTTTGGTTTATTTGGTAGACAATGATTGACATATAGCTCAAAAATTTCATTCTTTTCTTAAAATTTTGTATCAATCCACTTTACAACTTTCTGGTGTGTATTATCCTATTAGTCCATTGTAATACATACAATTATAAAAATTTCATATTTATTTAAAAAAACAGAAACAATGAAATTTTAGCGGGACCAATAGAGGCAATGGAATTAAAATTTAAAAAATATTGGAAACTCATTTTCTTTATTGTTTAGTTGCCATATTTGATCTTAGAATTAAATTAATACGTTTAGAAAATGGTTTAGACACGTTAAGTGAAAATTTACAAGACGAAGCATATGTCCATCAAATAGGAGAGATAAGAGAGTGTCTTACAGTGGTATAATTACAATATGAGAACAAGTATGGGAACCAGCGAAGAGGCGAAATACCCAAGGAAATAGCATCATAAGAAACAAAAGAAGACTTCGACTCCTGGAGTACACTTAATAGGCCGAAGAGGATCCAAACCCACGACATAGCCTCCTCTTCAGAAGCATCAACAATGAATGTACTGTCCTCCATGTAGCTACAGAGTAATGAGCTTCACCAATATTTGGGAACCTCTGACGTGCTACCAACAGATTCACAACAAAGAGTCAACTTTGATGTCTTAGAATATTGGAAAACTAGAAAATATATTTTTCCGGTATTATCAAGACTTGCCCTGGATGTTTTCTCTGTTTCTGTCTCAACCGTCTCATCTGAACAAACATTTAGTGCAAGTGGAAGAATTTTAAATGAAAGGAGGACTAAACTTTCAACAAAAATGATTGAAGTCCTCACATGTTTTCAAGATTGGGAACAGTCACTC